CTGCTTTGAATCTGAGCATAACACTAGGATGTGTGACCTATAGAAACATGTTTAGTCCTCTCTGTTTTGTTATGTATTCAGTAAAGGTAGTAATATCTTCATTTGGATTATTGAGCAAATTAATTAAGATATACCAGGGAACTTCAAAGTTTGGGGAAATTCTATTGTTTTAATTTTTTCCCTGTTTTTAATCATCTTTATTTTTTGGAGCGTGTGTAGGAGTAAGGAATTAGGATTTGGACTACAGTTTTGGTCTAGGCTGGTTCTAAGTCTTCAGTTAGTGTTAAGCTTATAGTTATAGAACTAGGGTTAGTGTTGGGACTAGGGGTTGAGCTAGGGCTAGGAGTCATGCTTGGTCTAATTTTAGTATTACAGTAAGGTTTATTTTTATTTTATTCTTGAAATCTACTTGATTTCCTCTTCATTTGGAAGTGCTGTAACTACATTTCCCTTCTTTTTTATAGTGTTTTTGTTGTAAACTGGTATCTCTACTTCTCTCCAGTCTTGTTTGTTTTGGTTTGTTGTTGTTAAGTGCTATCGAGTCAGTTCCGACTCATAGAGACCCTTTATAGGGTTTCTGAGGAGCAGCTGGTGGGTTTGAACCATCGACCTGAGGCTAGCAGATCAGTGTTTATCCTATAGCACCATACCAGGACTTACTGCTGTATCTCAGTTGAGTTCTAGATGACATTGTCATGTTTGTTAATCTCAGATTGTTGTCTGCTGTTGTTGGTTCTCTGTCCAAAACACTCACTTTAGTATTTTTTGTAAGGTTGGTCTGGTTTTTACAAATTCTTAAGGTTTTTGTTGCTCTGGAAATGCCCTCATTTCTCCATCATATTTGATGGACAGTTTTGCTGGTTGTATGATTCTTGGTTTGCAGTTTTTTTTCTTCAAAGCTTTTCACCATGTCATTCGATTGCCTTCTTGCCTGCATTGTTTATGCTGAGAAATCAGCTTAGTCTTATTGGTTCTCCTTTGTAGAACTAATTTTTATTTTGTTTTTTGCTTTGTTTTTTCCTGAGCTATGCTCAGGATTCTTACCTTGCCTTAGATTTTGAAAAGTTTAACTGTAATTTTGATCTTGGTGATTTTCTTTTGGGGACTATTCTGATTGGAGTTCATTCAACTTCTTGAATGTATATCTTCTCATCTTTCATGATGTTAGGGAAGTTTTCTTCCAACAACTCTTGGACAATTTTTTCAACAGTCTCTTCCTGTTCTGGAAATCCAATTGCAAGTAAATTATTTCTCTTGATATTACCTCAAACACTTAAATATTGAGAGATTTGTCTTTAAGTTCATTAGTTCCATCTTCACTTGATTCATTTCTTCTACTTTTTTACTTTCAGTGTATTATCTATTTCTGAAGTCTTAACTATTAATCTGGCTTTCAAATTGCTGTTTTAGTATGGTTTTCTATTTTTTCTTATAGTGTTTTTTGAATTCTTCTAAAGTTTTATCTGTGTTTTCCTTGATTTTACATGTAGTTGTCTCGATCCTTCTTTAAGTACATTGAAGGTTCTTTTTAAATTCCTGATCAACTAGTTCTGATGCCATTTCTGGTATTATATTTTTTTACTCTGTTTTGATCACTTGTTTTGAGGCACTGTGTCTTGTTTCTATATTCAGAGAAATTGTGTTTTCTCTGAGACATGGTGTTGCCATCATATTTAAATTTATGCTTGTAGTGTTCTCAGGCACTCACCACCTGTCTCCTGATAGATGTGATAGAGACTGGATGTGTAACACAGTTCTCTGTTCACTGTTTGTGTATGTAGGATAGTTTAGGGCAGGTTCACTTTCCTCCAGAAACAGGGGCAGTATGCCTGGCATCCCACCCCAAGCAGAGCCAGAAACTATGCAAGAGAGGGTGACATTGGCCACTGGGCTAGCAAGGGCAGAGACTGGCCACACCCTTGGCTACCAGGATAGCATGGGAACAAGGAAAAACTGCAGTCCTGTTGCCAAACCACCAACCATGTCGTGTGCTTCTAGGGTACTGTGTCAGTGGCAGCCCAGAAATGATTAAGATGACTGCGTTGCTCTAGGCCAGCCAATAAATAGCCTGTCTGTTTTTCTTGTCTCTCACTGCTGCTTTTCAGCTTCCTCTTCAAGTCAGTACACAGTACACCTCTCTCTCCTAGTCTGACGATGTGGGCTCCATATCTTCCAGGTCCTTGTTGCAGAGTGTCTGCTCAGCTCATCTGCCAACTCTTCTATCTTGCCCCTGACGTCTCCATTATCTTTTAATTCCATTTTTTCCATGAATTTTTAAAGCTCTTCTTATAATAGTGCTAAGTGTAGCTAGGGTAGTAAGTGCATTGTAATTGTTATGCTATTACAGTATCTCATTTAAACCCAACAAAATTGATCTTATGACCAGTTAATAGACATGAAAAGTAAGATTCAGATAGATGAAATATGTAGGCTTCAATAATTACATTCTAAGGAGCTGAGATTTACATTCAAGGTTGTCTGATTTAAAAGCCTCATATTTTCTTTTTTTTTTTTTTAAGTTTTTATTGTGAATTGAGTGATAGTTTACACGAGAGAACATTGGTTTTACACTCATTGTTTCATTGCAGTGATTACAATCCTCTTCATGCATCATCATTCAACAGTATTTGCTTCTATTCCCTCTGTTTGTATATATTTGGGGGGGGTGATGGGGGGATGTACACCAAAATACTAAGGAATATATAATCATTTAAACAACCAAAGAGCACATTCTGCAAGCCTGCCTCCAGCAAACACCCTTTCTCTTTCCATGAGTCTAGAGTCCTCAGCTGCTCTATCTCTCCATGTCATCATCTCTGCCTCCATCTCTGATGTCGCTGCTTCTCTGGATAGTGCCCCACATTCTGCTTATCTTCTTCTCCCTTAATGGTCTTAGGGTCCTCTGTTCCTTGAATGTAAGATTACCTAATCCCCCCTTTATATTACAAAACGTCTACCTTTACAGTTGTGACAATCGCAGTTAGTCATGATAACAATTACTCATTATTGAATCATAAGACTCTTACCACATCTCCTTTCTCCAGGCTTATCTAGACAAGATGAAAACTATTCAGTAGGGATTCTACCTTTCTCTGAAAACTCTGAAACTAAACTCAAAACCTCTTATTTTCATTATACCATTTGCCTCTCTAGCTGGTTCTAATGAGTTTTGAATGTTATGTTCATGAAAGAAAATTTTCTGTCAGTGATTTAACCTTATTTCATAGACTCTGAAACATCACCCATTTAAAATGCACCATTATTTTATGTACCACTTCTGAAAAAGTTAAGCTTTGATTGTGTTTGTTTTATACTCACTGAAAGACATTTTAAACGCAAGATAGACATAGATTTTTTTCATGTCACTCACCTGCATACATAAAAGGAAAATCTAAGCAAAATAGTTAGGGCAATAACTAAATTACTATAAATATCAGGCCCAAAGCAGGTATGTAATGTCATGTGTTTTAAGTTTCATTCTGTTTTCAGAGACGTTAAAAAGAGAAAACTAAATGTCTGTCTTTTATGGATGGCTACTCTTTCAGGGGTGAGTTAAGTATTAATATTAGTTAAGATACAAATTCAGATTCTGTATCACAGACTCAAAAGTAACAGTAGCTTAAACAAGGCAAAAGGTTATTTCTCTGTAACAGACTTGAGCCTAAGTTATAAGTAGTCCAGGCTCCGAGGTACTGGGATCCAGGCTTTTCCTGTGGTTCTGCTGTGCTTCTTTCCATCTCCCAGTCAAAGGTCACTGGTCCGTTGTAGCCAAGAAGAATGGGGGATATACAAGTGAAAGGCATGCCCCTTCCTTTCCAGCCCACAACGTGCTCACATTGCCACACCAACCTCCAAGGGAAGCTTGGAAATACGTATGATCTTTATTTACACAGGACTTGTGCCCAGCTAAGCCTCTGGAGTACTAATATTAAAGGAAGAAGGAGGAAATGGATTTCGAGGTACAATTCGTAGTCTCAGCCACAGTAGTCTATATATAGCTTTGAATTTTTGCTGTTAACAAATATTTGTCATTTTGCAAAATTCTTTCACATCAAAAGATGAACCAGAAAATAGATTATCTATCTCAATAGGTTTGAGCTGGTGATACTTTATTCTGATAATCATATATAATTTAGATGTGTATTTCTGTCATTGCTGTAGTATTGAGGATTGGCTCTACAAAGCACTTAACTCAAAAGCATTTTTGTGACCTGATTAATTCTCACTAACAAATTTAATTGCATCTCCTTGTGGGGCTAAGTTATAAATACACCTCATGTCACTTACATGTTTTCTCCTATTAGGTGTCTGTGCTAAAGTATGCTATCTTATTTCTGGTTTTGTTTTTTGGTTTGTTTTCGTTTCATTTGTTTCTGCTTAATGTAATGTGGCTCTAAAGTGATGTTTTATTCTTCCAGTAAAAATTACACAACAGCTGGTAAGCAAGATTTGATATTTGATAGCTGTGTTTGAACAGAGAATATAGTAGGTAAAAAAAAAAAAGTAAAAGCTTGTCTCTGACACTGTGTAGTATTTTTATTCATGTCAACAGAGGAATATTCTGAATTACACTTTGTTTTACATTTGTCCTTTCAGTGTGTTTTTCTGTTTCCATTCATGGCACTTCATTCATTTTGCTATCCTAATAATAAAAGTTTTGTGAAAAGTATAATTAACATTAAAGATTTTCAGAACATTTAATTTTTCCAGAGTAACTTCCTTTAATAATAGAAGATCTTAATGTTTAGAAATGTTATGCAAATAGAAGTTTTCTAAATGAATATCACGGTAGATGAAACTATGGCTTTGAGTATGCTTAGCAGTTGTTTTCCAATTAAATTATTTCCCAGATAATCCCTGTCACTTAAATAGGAAGAGTAAATGGAAATGTTTGTTAATATAAGCCAATGATGTCATTTTTTTAAGTAAAACTCATTTCAAGATGTGAGTTTGTTTATTTTGCCTATTCTTGTTTTTTGTTTTTTTGTTTGTTTGGATAGTCAGGGAAGAAAATAAACAGCAACCCAAATCCTCTTGTTCAAATGTCAGTTGGACACAAGGCACAGGAAAGCAAGGTAAGGTACTGATGCTCTAACTAGTTTTCAGTTACTCATATTTTTCACTGTTGCCAGACTGAAGTGTGGAATGTCCAGTTGCAATTAGATGGTGTTGAAAAGTAGTGTGATGGTGTAGCTAGCAGTTGAGGCCTTTACTTTTCTTGTCTTTTTGTTATTGTTTTTTTTTTTAACTAGTTGCTTAATTTTCTAACAAATGCATTGGTCACTTTTAAAAACTTAAGATAAAAATTAATATATGAATATGCTTTAGCTTGGTTTCATAGGTAGATTCTGTGGTATAAATTTTTTTAAGTTTCTTTTGAAAGTTCTAGAAATGCTATATATATATATAATAATAACAAATCTAAATTATATTCCCACTTAAGAGCAGAGAATATTGCTACTATTTTAATATATTCATCATATGACAGAAAACATTTTTTGAAAATTATTTTGTTGAAGACCATTGTTTATTTGTAATTGTTGACAGTTAATTTTGGAGGCATCGTTGTATACAGCACTAGGATGGGCACCAGGGAACTAACAGAACTAAGGCCAAAGCAAGATAAGATTGTTAGCGTTTATCATTGCGGTATCTTTCCATCATTAATACAAGGGGACTTCAAAAAGTTCGTGGAAAAATGGAATTTAAAGATAATAGAATTTTTTTATGAACATTTTAAAGGCTCCCCTCCCTTGTATACATTACATTACATTAATTGTGTCTTGGAATTTAATTAGGGTTGCTATATACTTCCAAACACGTTATATTAAATAAGTCCTTTTCCACAGAAAATATCAGAGTTGACATTTGGGTATATCTTCCAGATTCGGTATAAAACCAATGAACCTGTGTGGGAAGAAAACTTCACTTTCTTCATTCACAATCCTAAGCGCCAGGACCTTGAAATTGAGGTATTTTATTTGTCATTTTAAACAGATTTATCTAAGTATAATTGGCATACAATAAAGTGGACATACGTACAATGTACAGTTTGATAAGTTATGGTCTATGTTATCCATTGGCCCCATCACTTGAAAATCAAGATATCAAATCTATACATCACTCCCAAAGTTCTTTGTCTCCTTTGTAATTCATAGCTCCTCCAGGTAAACACAGATCTGTTTTCTGCCATTATACAAATTGTTCACATTTTCTAGAATTTTATATAAATAGAATTATACACTGTGTATTCTTTTTCCTCTATATTCTTTCGTTCATAGTAGGTATTATGAGATTCATTCATGTTGTTGAATATATCCATAGTGTGTTCTTTTTTAGTGTTGAGTAGTATGTTGTTGTTGTTAAGTGCCATTGAGTTGGTTCCTACTCGTAGCGACCCTGTATAGAATTTCCAAAGAGCTACTTGCAGTTCAAACCAACTTTTCAGTCCAACACATTGACCCGCAGTGCCACACCGGACTCCACTGAGTAGTATTGTTGTTGTTAAGTGCCATCGAGTTGGTTACAACTCATAGTGACCCTTTATAGGGTTTCTGAGGAGCGACTGGTGAGCTTGAACCTCTGGCCTTATAGTTCAAACCGACCTTGCAATCTAGCACATTAACCCACAGCACCACACCTGGACTAATAGTGTATAAATATATGAGAGTTGTTTATCCACTCACTGTTTGATGAAAGTTTGTGATGTTTCCAGTTTAAGGATATTATAAATCTGCTATGAACATTCATATAAAAGTCTTTGTGTAAATAAACACTTCATTCCTCTTGGGTAAATTTCAAGAGTAGATTTCACTATATCATACGGTAATATATTTATTATATGTGTAACTTTTTAATAAATGGCCAATTTTTTCCCCAAAGTGGTCATAACATTTTATAAGAGTTATCAGTTTTTCCATATCTTGCCAACACTTGATATGGTGAGACTTTGTCATTTTTAACTTAGTAGGAATGTAGCAATATCTCATGGTAGTTTCAGTGTGATAGCTAATGAAGTGGAACATGTTTTCATTTTTTATTGTTAATTTTCCAGTCATGTAATTTTCATAGTGAAATGTCTGTTCAGTATCTTTGCCCATTTTAAAACTAAATTTTCTTTTTATTATTTATTTGTGGTTGTTGTTAACAATGTATACAGCAAAACCTACAGATTGTTTGCCTTCATAATACTGATAAGGAATTTTAATATATTCTATATTTAAATACTTTTAGGGTATTTTCTATCTGTAGATATTTTCTCTTAATCAATGGCTTGATTTTTAAATTTTTCATAATAGTGTCGTTTGAAAAGCAGATTTTTTTTTTAAGGAGCTAAAGTCCAGTTTATTGACCTTTTTCTCTTCAGTTCATGCTGTCTGTGGCCTCTTTAAGAATATTTGCTCAGAGTAAACCCCCTTCCAAGACTAAGACTCAATGGGAATACACACTCTGATGGGTGACCACGTTCGCCACCGACAAGGGGAAATGAGGGAAAAACAGCTGTAAGGCTGCGAGCTAAGCCCTACAATGGTCAGTAGACTCTTGTGAACCCAGGTGGAGACCTGGTTGACAAGCAGTGTGGCAAGAACTTGGGACTCTTGGTCCCAGAGTCAGTGACATAGCCACAGAGGACTGGAGTGGAGATTGAAGTATCCAGTGGATAAGAAGAGAGGGCATATCCACAAGAGCACCCACACTTGCAAATAATACCCATTTGACCTAGCTTCAATGACTGGATGATCAGAGCACAACTAGAAGAAGAAAGAAGAGGAAACAGAGTAACCTGATACAATTTGATGAACTTGACCTACACCTATGGATGCAGTAACTCAAAAGAGGGAACAAATCTTTACAGAAAGGATCATTCCCACCCCCACCATAGACAGAGTATACAGTGATGGGCAACTTGGACATTGGCTATCCAAAATGCGGGGGAGGGGGGGCTACAAAGGCAAGAAGTGACTGGCTTTCAAGAGGGAACCTAGATCCAGAGGGCGTGGAGGAAGGTAGAATCTCCAGTGAGTACTATCCAATCTGTCTGGGCAGGGCTGATGAAAGGAGATGCGGCTAGGTCTCTTGTGATACAATAGTGAATAATTGTTACCAGGACTGATTGTGAAGGTTGTAAATGTAAAAGTGAGCATTTTGTGGCAAGGAGGGGAGTGATTGACTTTGCAGGCTGGGAGCGGAGATCCCTGGAACCATGAAGGGAGAAGAGCGGAGAGCGGAATCCTCCCCAGAGAGGCAGCGATCCCCGAGATGGAGGCAGCGATGATGATGTGGAGAGATGGAGCATTTGGGGACTCAGGACTCAGGGAGGGAAAGGGGCTGTGTGCTGACGACCGGGGTGGGGAAAGCAGGCTTATAGGATGTACCATGCATGGAGGGTATTGTAACCATGGCAGTGAAACAATATACTATAGGATGAATGTAAAACTGATGTTCTCCCACATAAACTGTCACATAATTCACAATAAAACTTAAAAAAAAAAAAATTTGCCGATTTGAAGATACTAAGATTTTCTTTGATGTTCTCTTCCAGAAGTTCTAAACGCTTACTCTTACATTTACATCTATGGTCCATACTGAGTTAGTTCTCTTCTCTAGGATAAAATAAAGATTGCAGTTCTTATATATGACTGCTTGTACAATTGTTTACCACTTTTTAGCAAAAAGATTATTCCTTCTCCCATTGAGTTGCCATGGTAACTTTGTCAGAAATCAGTTGGCCCATCTGTGGGGGTCTATTTCTAGAATTACTATTCTGTGTCATTGTTGTGTATGTCTGTCTTTATGCTAATACCACACTGTCCTTACTACTGATACTTTTTGATTGTTTTTAAATCAAGTAGTGGAAGTACTTCATCTCTGTTATATTTTTTCAATTCTTTAGGTGACCTAAGTCCTTTGCATTCCACGTAATTTTTTCTGTATTGGTTTGTCAGTCTCTCTACAAAATACCTGCTGGGTTTTTAATGGGGATTATGCTGAAAATATAGATGAATTTGGAGAGAATTGACATCTTAACGATATCAGATCTTTGAGTGCATAAAAACCATATCATTCTATTTACTTAGAAGTTCCTTCATTTCTCTTAGCAGTATTTTATAGTTCTCAGTAATTGTACAGGTCCTGTGTAACTTTGTCAAAATTATCTCCAAATATTTCATACTTTTTGATGCTAAAATAGTTTATGAATCTTGGGTTTAAAAAATAGCTTTTAAGATTCTTATAAACACTGTTGTAGTTATTTCATTCTAAAGATGCTTTTGTTAATGAAGGAGATAATCAAAACCTGAGCTTTTCATGGGTCGTTAGTTATGTGACCTTTTTTGTATAGACTGTGAAACCTCCAGAGATACTCCTTTATTTGATGAAACTATTTTGTATTACAGCCATTTAAGATGGATAATTCTTGTTACAGAGGTAATAAGAAGGTTAATGTTTAGGAAAAAGCAATAAACGCATTTTAAATTAAGCTTGTTCATTTAAAACAAATATTATAAGTTTCCAAAACAACCATGCCAATTTTGAATAGGGAAGGCTTAAAAGACATTGGTAAATGATTTTTCTCCATAAATAAATGTCACCAGTATAAGCTGTATATATCACTACTACTGTTTATTGCCACCATTTCGTGGGATTTAGAAAACAAAAAACTGTCTTTTTTAAATCTTTAGATTTGTATAGACTACTGGACTCCTGGTGTGTTGCTAAAGGAACTGCATTGAATTTCAAACCACACAGTCGGCAGTTGAAACCCACCAACTGCTCGTCAGAAACCCTAGACAGGGTCTCTATGAGTCAGAACCGACTCGATGACACCTGACAGCACTGTCTCTTAGTACAGGGTTCTATTCATTCACAAAACATGATGTTTTTTGCTTCGCTTGTTATTGTATAAGGAAGAAATAAGAGATATATATCATATAAGGAGTCTTTGCTTGTTACCGTGTTTTATATCTTTCTAAAGAGGTTTTGTGCTGTGCTAATAATCTGAGAAGCTGGGTTATATGAAGAAAAATGTGACATCAGGATTGGAGGAGGACTCATTAACAACCTGCGATATGCAGATGATACAGCCTTGCTTGCTTGAAAGTGAAGAGGACTTAAAATATTTGCTGATGAAGATCAAAGAGCACAGCCTTCAATATGGGTTGCATCTCAATGTAAAGAAAACAAAAATCCTCACCACTGGACCAATAAACAACATTCTTATCAACAGAGAAAAGATTGAAGTTGTCAGGGACTTCATTTTTCTTGGATCAACTATCAACACTCGTGGAAGCAGCAGTGAAGAAATCAAACAGAGTATTGCATTAGGCAAATCTGCTGCACAAAACCTTTTTAAAGTGTTGAAGAGCAAAGATTTCAGCTTGAGAAGTAAGGTGCGCCTAAACCAAGCCATGGTATTTTCAATAACCTCATATACATGCGAAAGTTAGACAGTGAATGAGGAAGACCATGGAAGAATTGGTGCTTTTGAGTTACGGTGTTGGAGGAGAATATTGAAAGTGCTGTGGGCTGCCAAAAGAACCAATAGATCCATTTTGGAAGAAGTGCAGCCAGAGTGCTCCTTGGAGGCCAGGATAGCCAAACTTCATCTATCATACTTTGGATGTATTGTCAGGAGGGACCAGTCACTGGAGAAGGACATCGTGTTTGGTAAGGTGGAGGGTCAGAGAAAAAGAGGAAGACCCCCGATGAGATGGATTGGCCAAGTGGCAGCATCGATGGACTCAAGTGTGGCAACAGTAGTGAGGTTGGCCCAGGATTGGGCAGTGTTTCGTTCTACTGTGCATAAGGTTGCTATGAGTCGGTACCAACTCGATGGCACCTAACAACAACAACAACAATCATTTATGGAAATACTGCTTCAAAGAATATGACATATTTTTGAAAGACAAATTTTGTTATTCTTTCTGCATCTTCTGTAAGTTTCAGCCTTATAACTAAGTATTTTTTCTGTCCTGATTTTCACAGGTCAAGGATGAACAGCATCAGTGTTCCCTGGGGAATTTGAAGATTCCTCTGAGTCAGCTGCTCGCAAGTGATGATATGACTATGAACCAACGATTCCAACTTAGTAATTCAGGTCCAAACAGCACTATAAAAATGAAGATTGCCCTCAAGGTATTTATAGTCTGTTGTGATGAAAACAGTAGTGGATGGGGAAGAAATGGGCTACAAATAGTATGTGTTGGTAGTGATTCAGAAATTGAAGTATCTTCATGTTCACAGGTAGCAGGTGATTTTATTAAAATGATGGCAGTAGTGTTACAGGTTTCCAGGAAAGTTATTTTGAGTGGAAAATACTGCTGAATGTTATGAGAGCTCAGATGAAAGATGATTTAAGACTTGGTAAAAACATACAATATGATAAGTCACCAACTATTACTATTAGGGCTCCAGTTAATACACACATACATTAATACCAGACAGGACGTGTTTTTGCAATCAGTGGATGGTTGCAGACAAGTTCTCTCGATAATACACTTGCCTTAGTGTCATTCGGGGGCCTCTAAAAAATGGGTAATACTTTCTGTGCCAAGATGCTCTGGTAGAATAGTGGTTACAAGTCAGGCTGCAAATCTCACAGTCAGCAGTTTGAAACTACCAGCAGTGCCGTGGGAGAAAGATGAAACTTTCCTGTTCCCATAAAGAGTTATAGCCTCGGAAACCCTATGCAGGGTTACTGTGAGTCGGAACCAACTCCATGACACACGACCACCATGTTTTGTGCCACGGGGAAACAATTTTTTTAAACAAAACTCAAGTGGACATTTTCCGAAATCACTGAAGTATTGCAGCAAGTTTACAGGAATGCAGCTCCACATAAAACAGCAGCATTTAGATGGTTCAGGTGTAAGGAAGGCTGAAAAGACTGCCAAATTGGTCCAAGAGAAGGAATGCTGGCAACCTCCATGAATGAAGAAACTCTGGCTGAAGTCCAGACACTGGTGAATAGAATTATGATTGATGCAGTAGCTGCTGAAGTTGGTATCTCACATGCTTCAGTATTTTCAATTTTAAGTGAACTTCTTGGCCTCTGCAACCTCGCCTCTTGGTGAGAGTCAGAAGTGTGGCATAAAGATCAGCTAGCTCAAGGAGTTGATCTTTCTATTTGTCTTTTAAGCAAGATTGAAGCTAATGAAGACTTTTATGGAATTAATCCTAACCTGGAACGAGTCTTGAACTTTAACCAATAGGATCTCTGGATCAAGGTCCAGTTCAGACAGTAGCTTCCAAGAGCATCTTCTGGGCTAGTTAAATTCAAGGTAGAGAGGTCAGGTCAGAAGATTATCGGATTCCAAAGGGGTGACCTTGATAGATTTTCTCAAAGGATACAGGATAACCACTGGGGTTTGTTACCAAGTTTTTAAGAAAATTGAAAACTGCGTTGGTGAGAAAACAGGCCAGGAAAGTTGCATCGAGGAAGTGTTTCCCATCACAATACACGTACTCATTCTCAGGTAATAGGGTTCTAGGAAAATTTTGTTGGGATACCTTATCCTGTCCACCTTACGGCCTTGATCTTGCTTCCTTAGGCTTCTTTTTATTCTCAAAAGTCAACAAACATTGTCCCCAAAACTCAAACCTAATTTGAGTCCCTTGAAGTTGACAAAATTGCCATTTTGACATGATGTAAACTAAGAGAGCAGAATTGTGGGGAGAAAAGTTAGAGAAATGGAAACACTACCTTCAGAAGTCTCAAGACCTATAATCAACCATCTGAGATCAAAAGGGCAGCATTTCCCCAAAGACAAAGCTTAGAAGGCAGGCAGGCAGGCAGGCAGACAGGAGGAATGGAAATGGAAAACACAGGGTAGGCGTGGGATGTGTGGGGTTCCTTTGCAGGATTGCAATGACACAAAATTATATGAATGGTTGGATAGAAAACTAAATTTGCTCTGTTAACCTTTATTCCATTCACCAAAAAAATAAAAAAAGAAAGAAAACGAAGTGTCTAGACCTACATAGAAGGCATGTCAAGAAACAATAGCTTCACATTTTGGTAGTTTTGTTTAAAAATGGTTTCTGTGATTTTGTAGCAATACTTTATGACTTGCCTTTCTGTAACAAAAATTGTATCTCCAGATTGCTCTTGAGCCGGGCCCAGATTTATTCATTTGTGCTTTCACATGAGTCTGGCCAACCTTTTAAAATCATTTGGCACAGAAAAGATTGCTATCTCTGTCACAGAATTTTCAGAAAAGCATGTTTCCATTCAGGAAAGCATGTTTGATAAAAATTCTACAAGATAGTAGAATTTATAGTAAGAAAAGTTCCTTTTTTCCAAAATAGACCATGATTAATTTTTTTAAATACCTAAGAAAATGTTGAACACACAACTGTCAAACAAAATGTTGTGAAGTGCGTCGGTTCTGACTCATGGAGACCCTGTATAGGGTTTCCAAGGAGCAGCTGGTGGGTTTGAACGTTGACCTTGTGATTTACAGTCCAGTGCTGATCCTACAGTACCACACCAGGATAATACTAAAACTCACCAGAAAAATTCAAATTAATAATTGTGATTTTCAGTGGTACTTTTATCAATTAAATTTTTCTCTATGTATGTAGTGGCTCTGTTTTTCTCCAATAAAACTTCTATTTGAAAAAAATTTTTGAAAGGGAAGCCCACCCTTTACAAATTGTGATAGTCTTTAAAGAAAACAATGAAATGGTCTTAACACCTTATTAAGAAATGGAATATTTCTATAGCCTTTCCAGAAAGGCCTGCAATATTTCTAAACCATAAATCATAGGACTCCTAGAATCAGAATTCCTTTTAATGGAAATCTGACTTTTGATAATAATAAGAAAATGTATAGAAATTGTGAACATAATGTTATTTATTGGAACATTATTTTATAAATGCCCCAAAAATTTTCAAACCATGCAAATCATCTAAAAAGTGGAGTTGTGTACCACAGACTCGGCTCAGTGGAATGTGTAGATTAAAAATAACTATTAACAATCCTGGTGTGGTGCTGTAAAGATAAGCACTGGACTGCTAACCGCTAGGTTGGTGGTTCAAACCCACCAATCACTCCTCCGAAACTTTATACAGGATCACTGAATCAACTCAACAGCACTTAACAACAACATTAACACTGAGTGAAGAAAATAGTTCACAGGCTTTAGTAGTCCAAAAGATGTATGAGCTATTTGACTCTACAACTTCTGTTCCTACATTAATTATGAGACTCTTGAGGAATATTCTTGCTGGATGACAGATAGTCTTGATTTTCATCATATCTCAAAGGGGTTCCTGATGGAAGATCACTTTTGTGGATAGAAGATTCTAGTCTTCTGACTAAAATAAACAATTGAGGTAACAACAAAATGTCCACCAATTATGTAACTAACTATACACAAATGGCAGAAACCAGGCTATACAGGAATTGTTTTGTATTACAGAAGTGATATTTTGATTATTCAAACTTTTTCTTTTTCTAAATGTCCATAATAACATATTATGTCTTAGTTACCTGCTGCTGCTGTAACAGAAATACGACCAGTGGCTGGCTTATGATACATAACATCATTATCTCAGAGTTTAGGAGGCGGCTTCCTTAATGTCTACTCTCTTTCCACCTCTGTTCTTTGGCATGGCATCTATCTTCTCTGTATGTGCTTGCTTGTTTAATCTGCTCTTTTATTTATATTTTAAGAGCTATTGAGTTATGACACTCCAAACTAAGGAGCTCTGGTAGCGTAGTGGTTACGAATCAGGCTGCGAACCTCAAGGTGAGCAGTTCAAAACTGCCATCCATTCCGCAGGAGAAAAATAAGGCTTTCTGCTCCCATAAAGATTTATAGCCTCCAAAACCCTGTACAGGGTCGCTATGAGTTGGATCTGACTCTGCGTCACAACACCAAGCAACCAGCTAATGCCTCATTAACAAAACAGGAACCCCATTTCCAAATGGGATTAAAACCACAGGTATCAGGATTAGGATTTACAACAGATTTTGGGGGCCACAGAGTTCAGTCCATAATGTTACCTTAATTAAATAGATGAACACATAGATTGAATTTTTAAAGAGCAGTTTTCTGTCAAATCTTAATGGAACGGTTTGAGTATCAGGATGTTGCCAGTATCACTAATGATAATTTTTTGTTGTTCATTTCTACCTCTAGGTACTTTCCCTTGAAAAGCAAGAAAGTTCTCCAGGTCATCAACATTCAGCTCAAGTGAAAAGACCCTCAGTTTCCAAAGAAGGGAGAAAAACATCTGTCAAATCTCAAATTTCTGTATCTCCAGCCACTGAGGGCGTTAAAACAGTTCCATCCACACCAATAATTGATGGTAGAAATAAGACTGATATGGGAGAGAAAGACCAGCTGCCTAATGCCAGCCCTCAGTGGCCACGTGATCTCAACAGAAGCTCTTCCAGCCTCCAGGCCTCCAATTCTGCCTATTCCCCAAGCCACATTTCAGTCAAGGAGCCCACACCAAGCATCGCCTCAGATATATCATTGCCAATCGCCACACAGGAACTTCGGCAAAGATTGCGACAGCTTGAAAAGTAAATCAGATACTATTTTTAAAAACAAAATTAGTGTATGCATCTATTTAAACAAGGAAGGAAAAGTAATCTCAAATTAACTTGAGATTTTAGGGTTGTAGTGAAGTTTTCCTCACCCCATCTTTGACTTTCAATAATAAAAGTTGTCATATTCTGTTGTTATATGCCATCAAGTAGATTTCAAATAATTGTGGCCACATGTGACAGAGGAGAAGTTTCCCGTGAGGTTTTCTTGGCTGTAATCTTGACAGGAGCAGATTGCCAAGTCTTTTTCCCACATAGCCATGGGTGGGTTAGAACCACCAACCTTTGACAGTAGCTGAGTGCTTAACTAATGTACCACCAGTATCCTTTGCCATATTCTAGTACCTAATATTTAACTAATTTAAAGGTTACAAAACAATTAGGGTAATTGTTGTTGTTAAGTGCCGTCCGTGGAGTTTCTTCCTACTCATAGCGACCCTGCCTGAGCTTTCTGAGGAGCGGCTGGTGTATTTGAACTGCTGACCTTGAGATGATTCTTGTATAGCCACCACACCAGGACTCTGCATTTGATTAATAGGTCGCATAAATAGGACAGGAGTTAGGGTCAGAGTTGTGAAGGTACTGTATACCTAACCTCTATTAGGAAACTAAATCTGAAGGGTTGACAAGGAAAATTTTTGTGATAGTTTGACTTTTGATGTATAAGAAGGAATAGGTCTTGTTCTTTTATGTTTGGTCAGCATTCCTTTGCTACAACCCAGTTGCTTTTTGTTTGGCCTGCGATGTGTGTGTTGAGTTCTTATTTAAGGCCCGTGATTCATAGATGTGTTTGTTAATGGTTTTCTTGAGCCAAGGAGGAAAAAATAGGCTGCCGTTATCACAGGGCTTCAGATGTTAACTTTTTCCTCTAAGTGGAAAGAATAAAGCTGACCTTTCAAACAGTTCTTCGTATTTGTTGTTATAAGAGGTGTGTTTAGTAATACAAATATAGTAAAAGAAATAGAGGCAAAGGTGAAAACATGTTTATGCTTAGAGTTAGAAAAAGCATAAACGGCTTAGAGAGCCTTTCAGCGGCATCTCATTCCTGCCACCAACGTGAGTCCATAAGACCTGTCTTTCAGTACAGCTCTTTGAGGGGTTTTTTCCTTCATACTGCCTCAAATCCATTATTTGGGGGTGGGGTGGGGGCGGAGTTCCACCTACAGTCTCTCTTGCTCCACAAGAAAATAGAATTTCCAACAGGTAATTCCTTAGGAGCTCCATTTGAGGAGCAACCCTAAAGACCTTGAGAAATACTGAGCCAGAGTCATCATTAGTTCGCCAGTCTTAGAAGTTCCTGCTCCGACCATGAGCCAGTAAAACCCAAGTGAAAGGAGACTGATGTCAAACTAATTCACCCACTGCCAGCAAGTCAAGTCCAACTCACAGCTCCCTGCAGGACGGAGTGGAACTGCTCCGTAGGGCTTCCAAGGTTCTAAATCATTGCAGAAGAAAAGAGCCTCATCTTTCCCCCATGGAGTAGCCGGTGGTGTTTGAACTGCTGACCTTAGCAGATAGTTGAAAATGAAACAAGTGATTTATACAAGATTTTTGAGACAGGACATGCTAGATTTAGATAGTTACAGGCTAGATATTGCTTGGCAATGACAGCAGAGTTGATTGATTGATGCTTTCAATAAGGAAACCTGCGTGTCTCATTTGTACGTGAAAAACTGTCAGTCATGAATAATTAAGTAATACTGAACCCTCAGTGAAATATGTGCTCAAGTGGTTGATTTAAGATCAACTTTCAAATGACATTTAAGCATTTGAACTGGTCATTTTTATTCCAGACATTATCCTTTGAGTCCAAATGAATGAAAATTGTTTTACTTGTGCATATTATATAAATGAATCTGAAAGAGAGCTGACTATTCTATACTTTGTGTCCCCAGTGGAACAACATTGGGACAGTCTCCACTTGGACAAATCCAGCTGACAATACGTCACAGTTCTCAAAGAAACAAGCTTATTGTGGTTGTGCATTCCTGCAGGTAAGTCTAATGTGTCCTCATAGTGTAAGCGCCACAATCCCTTCTCTCCTTTTTTCTGAGGGCAAAAACTAAATGCTTCAATGGAAACATTCACTTCTAGCATTAGCATAAAAGATATACTTACATTTCATTAAACTTAGTATCCATTGTTATTAAGTCCTGCCAAAGTCGATTTCAACTTATAGCAACCCTGTGTCTGAGGAGCATCTGGTGGGTTTGAACCATTGACTTTGCAGTTAGCAGCTCAAGGCTTAACCTACAGCACCCTACCAGGATGCCATGGCCTGTACAGGTGGTACTAATAAATCAGTACTTAGTAAACTTACCAGTTCTGTAAGTATCATATGGAATACAAAAAAGTACTCTTTCTCAATGAGTATGTACTAAAGGCATAAAATTGATATATTTTGTACACATGATAATGCTTTTATATTTGGGAGGTTGGATTTATTGTGTTTAGGTTGTTGTTGTTAAGTACCATCGAGTCGATTTGACCCATAGCGACCTTGTATAGGGTTTTCAAGGAGTAGCTGGTGAGCTTGAGCTGCTGCCCTTGCAATTCAAACAGCTTTGCAGTCTGGTGCATTAGCCCACAGTGCCACACCAGGACTCCTGTGTTTAGGGAAGGAGGTGTAATTCTAAGGAAAGACTATCACTCTTGTTTATTTACATTAGCTTGTGGTTCCCTCCCTCACAAAAGATATATGCAAACTGAAGAAGGAATTGTGCTTTGTTAATATGCCTGTGTTGAGGTTTTTAAACATACAGAAGTATGTATTAAAAAGCATCAAGGTGTTGGAGAAGGAAGTATAGAAAATGTTCACCTTTGTCAAAAAAGACATCAGCATCTCAGACAAGTGAGAAGATCAAGCTGAACAGGAAAACTTAAAACACTAGGATGAATCACTCCAATTATTAGAAAGAAAAACTAAATACAACAATGATAAAAATGATTTTAAGGAAAGAACCTATAATTCCATACCCTACAGATGTGTAAGTTCTGTGCTGTCTAGTCGATTGCAACTCATAGTGACTGACTCCAAGTCCCTATGTAGAACTGCACTAAAGGGATTCCAAGGGTTTCCACATTGCTCTATCGTTCTCCTGTGGACTAGCTGGTGCGTTCAAACAGATGACCTTTCAGTTAGCAGCTGAACACTTCAACAGTGTGCCACCAGAGTTCCTTACCAGCAGAACAAAACAGAACCATGATGTGTACATGTATGTAACACCATCTGTTCCTTCTCTATAAACTTGTATTTTCTACTACTCTAATTCTACCGTGCAGTTTATTCCTTTTTTTATTTCTTAACCTTGTTTCATAAACATTTTCTGTTGGACGCAGAATCATTTTAATTGCTTTGTAATATTGAAATTGCTATTCTGCAGCTTACGTCACCATTTCCTATTGTTGGATCTTTAGATTGCCTCATACGTGAAACACAATAATGAACATAGTATATTGTTATTCTGATAGGAGGGAGTTTCAACCATTTCATGGAAAAATGGAATTGAAATATAATAGAACATTTTCACGAACTTTTTGCAGTGCCCTCATGTCAAAGTACCTTTTTGGATTAAATTCCTTGGATTGTTGTTGTCTAGTGCTGTCGAGTCGGTTCCAACCCATAGCGACCCTGTACAGGGTTTCCGAGGCTGTGTTATCAATTCAAAGGTTCCAAAAACAGTCTCTAGGCTCATGATGTATGCTGCTATTCATCTTTCAAAAACAAGAGTATATCCAGTGTGTTTACATACATTGGCCCTCCAAGTGTATGGAGGCATCGTCCCATCAGTCAGGAAAACCTTTCACTGTGTACAGTGTGCTAATTTAGTACAACTTGTTCCAGCTGTTGTCAGTTGCCATCAAGTCAATTCCAACTCATGGCAAGCCCATAGGTGTAGATTAGAACTATTCCATAGGACTTTCAAGAAAGGCTGTGACCTTTAGCAGGCAGATTGCCAGGCCTGTCTTCTGAGGTGCCTATGGGGAGCTTTGAATTGCCAACTATTATTCAAAAGGTTTGTAATTCACATCGATCCTTTTGCTTCCAAAAGGTCACAGCCATTGGTATACCTATATTCATATGTGTATATATGGATATATACACACATGCTCTTGTTTATTTAAATTTAAATTTGGATACAAGAAGCACATAGGGATGTTCAGCTTTTGTTAAAAGGTGAAAGTATAATGCACCTTTTAAATCTGGAGGCCTGAAAAGATAAATCAGAATCTGAATCAAAGTTAATGACTCACATTAGATATTTTGCAAATTGGTCAACTATCTGGCTAAAAAGCTGCCATTGATTCTAATTATTGTAAAATTTTTTGTTGTTTTAAAACAATTTAAAAATGCAAATACCTTTTTTTTAGTAAACCCAGGTACTTGGTACACAAAGTATAATGAGGTGTATTTGGATGGCACATTTGGCCCATTATTTGTACAAAATTTATAACCTGGACTGTAGTATATGAATTTAAACGGTAACGGTACATCAGTGGTTCGTGTGTATGTGTTTTAAGTTCTTGGAAGAACACAATACTTTTATATTAGAAATGTGCATTTTTAAGGGTGGTGTTCTTCCCTTCTAATAGGTTCTTTGAGGTTTTTTAAATTATTATTACTGATACATGATTATGGTTAGAAGGCCTTTCCCCCCCTAGCTTTTCCCCACAAAGAATCTCTTGACAAATAACAGCTTAAATCTGTTGATACCTTTTGTGGTGGTGTATGTTCTTGCTTACAGTATGCTGTTATGTGGATTCCATTTAGTGACTCTAGGATTTTGCATGTCAGTGATATTTTACCATATAAGGTTCCATCATCTATGTTAGCTTCTTGGTGTGATAGCAGCCCTTTGCCACAGAATCCTTTCATGATTTACTCCTGCAAATTCGTTTTAAACTAAAGTAAAACTGCAAAACTGGTTGGTTTAACACCAAAATTACTATGTATCACTTTATTATGGGTATACCTTTTGTGGTTTGAAATTAAGGAAAAAGGCAGTATGTGAAACTAGTCAGACCTGAGATTTGACTTTTTCTATTGAGTGTGCAGAAGACTGACCATGCACCAGAGATTGTGGATCTGAGGGCCAAGGGACCTCTGTGCTATGATGTTCCTAATGTTAGAGATTTGGTAGTTTAAAGATCTCTACTCATGTTTTGCTTGACTCCCATTTTAGCCTTAAAATGTATGGCTGTTAACCATGCTTTTGGATAGTAACAGCTGCAGTCACATTGGGCCCCAATTTTCCACCCAGGGCAACCAAAGGCAGGCTTTTCAGTGCATTATGAAAGCACATAAGGTCATAAATGTTCCCTGTGTGTTTGAAGCCAAGTTTCGTTCTGCAGATCTGGTGTGTGTTTTTCTGTTGTCTCCCATTTTCTATGGAATCTCTGCATGTGTATCTTCAAGGTTGTCCCTGGCTCCATGAGCCCAAGCTGATATTTGTGGCTTAGCAGTGAGTGTATCCAGCACACCCAATATGTACATAACATGGTACAGTGAAATATAAAGTTCATTTTAAAGTAAAAAAAAAAAAAGGTCACAGCCATTGAAAACTTGATGTGCGGTTGTACTGTGACACACGTAGTGTGGCCATGACTTAGAATCAGTTCAGGGATGGCTGGTGTGGTTTGAAGTATAAAATGAAATGACAGTATTTCTTTAATTGGTTTTTTTTTTATTAATAATGATAGTGTGGATTTATGCAAAAAAATTTAATGTAACTTATCTGTCTCATAGTAGTTAAAAGCATACTATAAATGTTGGAGCTTATAAAAAGCCATTGGAAGCACAGGAAAAGAAAACTCAGTGAAGTTGAGAAATCTAACTAAACATAGAATAAATTCAGTAAAGATGTGTTGAACACCATATATGTTCTTGGTCGTGGTGGTGGTGGTGGTTATGTGCCATGGAGTCGGTTTCAATTCATAGGACCCTGTACCGGGTTTCCGAGGCTGTAAATCTTTATGGGAGCAGAAAGCCTCATCTTTCTCCCGCGGAACATCTGGTAGTTTCAAACTGCTAATCTTGAGGTTAGCAGCCTAATTCATAACCACTACACTAATAGAGCTCTTATGTTCTTGCTACTAGGGAGATACAGAAACAAGACTGTTTTATAGGAGTCTGACTAAATAATTCCATAACTAGACATCCAAGTCAGTTACTGTAAAAAAAAAATGATACCAACCATCCCTCCCTCAGCTGGGTTCAAGAATTCATTGCAGTGGTCACACACAACTCAGACACCACACTCACAGTTATGGGGTTCACTAGGGAAGATAACAGGTTACAATTCAGGGTCAGAAATGTTCAGGGCCCAGTTGATCCCGTCAGGGCAGTCTCTCCTCTGCCATCCCCACTGGCAGGCCTCTCTAGGGCCCTTGGGCCTGGCCTTTGCTCTGCTCAGGCAATGTTACAAGCTCTTTTAGGGCTGCTGAGAAATGTCCACAGGACCCACCACTCCACCAGAAGCATCAGCCTGAAAGCACGCTGCTCTAGCTCCCCCAATTAAGTGCCTGAAGGCATCCCACTGTGCAAGAAAGCCTTCTGCCCAAAGTCACTCAGCTTTCCTGCTCTGGAGGCTGGGAAGGCCGCCACTCTGTGCCCTGCTTTTGCTCCTGTGGTTCAGCAGCTTCTGCCCCTCTGCCACTCCTCCTGTATCACAGCTTTCTGTCCCTGAATCGAGGCGGTTCAGTACACAGAGCTGTTTGTCTAGAGCCTAAGGAGGTGCTCCACTCCTGGTCTTGGTCATTGATAGTGACATCCCCTTTCCTACTTCTGAGACAGCTTGTTTTATACCTACAGCAGAGTTCCAAGTTTTTACTATCACAGTTAACACTTTAAAGCATTCACAACTGAGTCATGTCATCCTATCAGCATCTTCTCCTACCTTCTCTTACCCAGACCTAGCAGTGGGAGTTAAGAGCCCTATGAAGTTATTCACTGCACTGCAGTCAGTAAGTGAATAATTTTAAATGGTTGCCGATAATCAAAATTAGACTGTGTTGAATTCATCCAAGTTGTCATAGGAAGAAAATAGTGTGAACATCATAAAGCAGGTAGATCCTCATCTGAGAAGGACTTAAGATAGCTGAGGGAAGAAAGGGTCAAGGATGAGAGTAAGTGGCTTGAGAAAAGTCCTGAAGAGGAATGAGTGTGCTCCCTTCAGGCCAGTAAGGATCCCAGTCTCTAGGCAAAGGGCTCACACAGGAGTCTGTCTCACGGAGCGCTTGCTTATTTGGCTTTAAGTTCAACTCATGTTTCCTTACTCAGTGAAAACATGGAAGCACTTCGGAATAAAGTAAAAGAGAAAGGATTGAGAGAGAGCCATGAGTAGCAGTATTTTTTTTTTATCCCTACATATCCCTCTGGTAGCGTAGTGGTTACGAATCGGGCTGCGAACCTTAAGGTCAGCAGTTCGAAACTACCAGCCACTCCGCGGGAGAAAGATGAGGCTTTCTACTCCCGTAAAGATTTACACCCTCGGAAACCCTGTACAGGGTCGCTATGGGTCGGACCCGACTCGATGGCACTTAACAACAACAACAATCCCTCTGTATCATCCTCTAAGGAGCTCTTGTAGCGTAGTGGTTATGAATCGGGCTACAAACCTTAAGGTCAGCAGTTCAAAACTACCAGCTGTTCCGTGGGAGAAAAATGAGGCTTTCTGCTCCTATAAAGATTTACAGCCTTAGAAATGCTGTACAGGGTTGCTATGAGTTGGAACCGACTCCACGGCACCTAACAACAACATATCGTCTTTATACCTTTTTTGCTTTTCAATTTGTTATTATTTTTGAGTGCCATCAATTTGGTTCCGAGGAACAGCTGGTAGGTTTGAACCACCAAACCGAGCAGTTAGCAGTCCAGTGCTTATCCTATAGCACCACACCAGGACTCTCTTTTCATTTTGGGTATACATAAAATTGAGTGAATTTTAATGTGATGCTAATTCTGATTCCCCTGAATCCTAATATCTAGTATTCTCTTGTTTGTTATAAGAAATCTTATTGCCTTTTCTGAAGATGGCTCTGATCCCTATGTCCGAATGTATTTATTACCAGACAAGAGGAGGTCAGGAAGAAGAAAAACCCATGTTTCAAAGAAAACATTAAATCCAGTGTTTGATCAAAGGTATGATATTCTACTCAAGTCAAGAGATGCTGACTGTCTGAATTCACAAATTAAGAAAGACGTGACTAATAATATCTTTGGATGACTGAAACATTTACAACAGTGCTGTGTGGGAAAGTATGTTGTTGTTGTTATTGTTAGATGCCATTGAGTCATTTCTGATTCATGGCAACTCCGTACACAACAGAACAAAACACTGCGTCATCTGGTGCCATCCGTACCTTCTGTGTGTGAGCCCAGTGTTGTAACCACTATGTCAGTCCGTTTTGTTGGGAGTCTTCAAGCATGATGTCCTTTTCCAGTGACTGGTTCATCCTGGTAAAACATGCTCAAAGAACATGAGACAGAGTCTCACCATCCATACTTCTAAGGACTATTCTGGCTGTATGCCTTCCAAGACAGATTTGCTCATTCATCTGGCAATCCATGGGATAGTCAGCATTCTTTACCAATACCATAATTCCAAATAATTATTTATCAGTCTTCCTTATTTATTGTCCAGCTTTTGCATGCATATGAGGCGATTGAAAATACCATGGCTTAGACCAGGTTCACTCTAGTCTTCAAAGTGACACCTTTGCTTTTTAACACTTTAAAGAGGTCTTTTGCAGCAGATTTTCCCAATGCATTACGACATTCTTTGATTTCTTGACTGATGATTCTATGAGCATTGATTGTGAATTCAATTAAAATGAAATCCTTGACAACTTCAATCTTTTTTCTGTTTATCATGATGCTGTTTATTTGTTCGCTTTATGTTGAAGTATACTCTATACTGAAGACTGTAGTGTTTGTTCTTCATCAGCAAGTGCTTCAAGTCCTCTTCACTTGAAGCAAGCAAGGCTGTGCCATCTGGATATCAGAGGATACTAATGAGTCTTCCTCTAATCCTGATGTCACATGCTTCTTCATATAATACAGCTTTTTGGATTGTTTGCTCAGTTTACAGAATGAATAAAGGTAAAGAGTCCAACCCTGCACATCTTTCCTGATTTTATACCACACAGTAGCTCCTTTTTCTGTTCAAACAGCTGCCTCTTTGTCTATGTACAAGTTCTGCATGAGCACGATTAGGTGTTCTGGCATTCCCATCCTTCACAATGTTATCTATAATTTGTTACAACCCACACTGTTAAATGCCGTCCATAATCAATAAAACACATGTAAACATCTTTCTTGTATTGTCGACTTTCAGCCAAGATCCATCTGATGTCAGCAGTGCTCTCTCATTCCACATCCTCTTCTGAACCTGACTTCAACTTTTGGCAGTTCCCTGTGGATGTACTGTTACAACCAGCTTTGAATTATCTTAAGTCAAATTTTACAAGCATGTGATATTAATGATATTGTTAAATAATTTCTACACTCTGTTGGGTCACCTATCTTTGGGATAAGGACAATATTGATCTTTTCTAATCAGTTGGCCAGGTCTTCCAATTTGTTGTTATAGATTTGTGATCCCTTCAGCTTGTTGAAGCATTTCAATTTATATTCCATCAATTCCTGGAGCCTTGTTTTTCGCTAATCCCTTCAGTGCCATCAGTTCTTGATCATCTGCTACCACATAAAATGATTAAATGTCTAACGGTTCTTTTTGATACAGTGATTCTGTGTATTCCTCCTATCTTCTTTTGATGTTTCTTGTGTCCAATATGTTGCTCATAGTGCTGTTGTTAGGTGGTGTTGAGTTAGTTCCAACTCACAGCAGCCTTTTATGGAGAACAGAACAAAACACTGCCCAGTCCTGTACCATCCTCACAGTTGTTGTTACGGTTGAGCCCATTGCTACTGCCACTGTATCAATCCATCCTGTTGGAGGACTTCCTCTTTTTGTTGACTAACCATTTACCAAGTATAGTGTCCTTCTCCAGGGACTGATCCCTCTAAACAACAAAATATGTCCAGAAAACATATCCTAAAGAGCATTCTGGCGGTACATCTTCCTAGACAGATTTGTTTGTTCTCCTGACAGTCCATGGTACTTGCAAAATTCTTTGCCAAAACCATAATTCAAATTGATTATTCTACATTGTTCTTTTATTAATTGTTCAACTTTCACATGCATATGAGGTGAGTGAAAATATCATGGCTTGGGGCAGGTGCACCTTAATCCTGAAGTGACAGCTTTGCTCCTGAAGCTTTAAAGAGGTCTTTTGCAGAAGATTTGCCTAATGCAATACATTGTCTGATTTCTTTACTGCTGCTTCCATGAGTGTTAATTGTGTATCTTGCCCAGAGGATCATTACATATTGCATCTCAAGACTTGAAAAATGCTGAGTGTGCTCTGCCATTTTGGTTTTCTAACTCCAGGTCTTTGCACATTTCATTATAATACATTACTTTGTCTTCTCAAACTGCCTTTTGAAATCACTTCATCTTTCTTCTCTTCCACTTCAGCAATTGTACATTCAAAGCAAGTGTCAAGAGTCTTTTCTTATATCCATTGTGGTCTTTTCTTCCTTTCCTGTCTTTTTAATGACCTCTTGTTTTCTTCATGTGTGGTGTCCACAGCTTATCTGGTCTTCAGTAATTAATAGTGTTCCATGTGTCAAATCTATTCTTGAGATAGTCTTGAAGTTTAAGTGGAAAAAATTCCACCAAATATTACCAAACATGTTTTTGTTGTTTTGGTCTTTTTTTATATTAAAAAAAAGCATTTGAATTTCATATAGAAGTGTTAAACATAACAAATCTAAGATATAAAACTCTATTGATAGAGAAATAGTGAATAAATAAAGATAAAATTATCAATTACCTTTAAAAACTTCAATTGTATGGATTTAGCATATTGATATTTACTGGATTATAAATTAGGATTGAGAATTTTAAAATACATTTATTTTAAATAATATATTTATTATTTATAATCATTCCTTCCATTTGCTTTGTCATCTTTACTATGTGGAGCAAGTTTCAGAGTCTTTTCTGACATTCATTTATAATAACATTTATTATTTATAATAATAATCTATATGTAACATGTTAGAATGTAACATTTTTTATGGGGACAAAACTGTATTTGCAAAGAAAAATTTTTTTGAGAAAGGATATATTATGTCTATGTTTGTCCTATTTTCATGCAGAACATTTCATTTAAACCAGAGATGAAAAACTAGCAAGCCTGGGCCAAGTCTTAGATGTAGGTGTACTTTATTTGACAGAATGTTCTTAATTAGTTCCTGACGGTATTTAAAAATATGGAAACTTCACATCCAAATTGGGTTTCTAGCTTCAGTGTCCACTTGGGATGTTCTTCTACCTGTATCCCTGCATGACATCAGATGACTGGGGCTGAGAAGTGGTTGCCCCTTTACTTAGCATAAAGCTCCCCAGGTTTGCCAGAGTCTGCAACATCTCACTTACACCCCTTAAAAAGTGCTTTAGGGATCTCTTCCCCTTTTGGGAAGCTACTATCAGATATATTTTTTTAATTGGACATAGTAGTAATCAGGTATTAACACTATATAAGAATCAGTTTAAATGCCTGAGCAAGTTGGTGAATATGGAATTCCATGTCCTGCCGTACTTTACATCCTTGTCCCCACTATTTAAATTATCAGGAGTGACCCACAAACAGTTCAGTACCTTTAACATATTCAGGATGCCATAGTCTTCTCCTATGTTGGAAAAGAAAGTCTTCATGAAATGCCTCATAAAATATCTAGCAGAAGATTCAATGTTAGACCAAAAGATAAATATAACCCTGGGAATAGTCTCATACGTACCAAAAAAAGTATTCATGAAATGCCAGATAAAATGCCTAGCAGAAGAACTCAATGCTATACCAAAACATAAACATATCCTTGTGAATGGTCTCATAATGTTGAAATGCTGTTTTTTAATTATAAGAATATATAGCAAAATTGTGCAGAAATGTAAGCAAGGTCTTCTTTTTCCCGTTTCAGCTTTGATTTTAGTGTGTCATTACCAGAAGTGCAAAGAAGAACATTAGATGTTGCTGTAAAGAACAGTGGTGGCTTCTTGTCCAAAGACAAAGGGCTTCTTGGCAAAGTAAGTTTTTGAAAAATCCTAGGTCAGTTTCTATGCACTGTAAAATGAAACACTTTATCAAAAGTGCAGGTGTTATGCTAACTCATGTGATTGTTGTTGTTTTTAAGTGCTGTGGAGTCGGTTCTGACTCATAGTGACCCTGTACGAGGTTTCCGAGGCTGTAAATCTTTATGGGAGCAGAAAGCCTCATCTTTCTCCCACAGAAAAGCTGGTAGTTTCAAACTGCTGACCTTGCGGTTCACAGCCCGATTCGTAACCACTACGTTACCAGAAGGTGAGGGCAATATAAAAAAAGATGGATGTTGGCAGAAGTATCATGAAGACAGGGCAGTGAGCATACAAGGGCTAAGATAGTGAGCTCTGGTAGCGTAGCAGTTATGAATCGGGCTGCGAACCGCAAGGTCAGCAGTTCAAAACTACCAGCTGTTCCATGGGAGAAAATGAGGCTTTCTGCTCCCATAAAGATTTACAGCCTCAGTAACCCTGTACAGGTCGCTGTGAGTTGGAACCGACTCCATGGCACATCACCACGACCCCCAAGATAGTGATATACATACTACCTTGGAACAACAATATGTGAAGAAGAGTAGAATGTGTGTCTATGTCTATGTGTGTATATATCCAATGTGTGTATAGATCTCCATACATCTACATGTAGATAGGTATGTGTATATAGGATTTCAGAGTCCTGGTGTGGTGCTGTGGGTTAATGCCCTTGACTGCATAGTCAGTTTGAAGTGCAAAGTCAGTGGTTCAAGCTCACCAGCCACTCCTCACAAACCCTATACAGGGTCGCTATGGGTCGGAACTCGATGGCACTTAACAACAATGTGTTTATACATATGTATGTATATATTTATATGTCCCACAGATATAAAAAAGAGCTCTGGTAGCATAGTGGTTACAAATAATCTCATGGTCAGCAGTTCGAAACTACCGGTTGTTCTGTGGGAGAAAGATGAGGCTTTCTGCTCCCATAAATACTTACAGCCTCAGAAACCCTATGCAGGGTCTCTATGAGTCGGAACCAACTCCACGGCACATCACAACAACAACAGATATAAAAGAATATGAAAGAGGATATTGGTACATGAGTATTTACATTTCCTGCAAACACTAATGTGAATACGGTGGAGTATTCAGCAGGCAAAAGATGAAAAATTTTTAGATATTATCAAACATCTTACGGCAATGCGTAGCTGAGCCTGGGGACTCAGGACCATAGTCTCAGGGGACAACCTAGTCCACAAAGACAATGTTCGACATCCTACTTTGGTGAGTAACATCTGGGATATTACGAGCTCTTGAGCAGCCATCTCAAGATGCAGCTATTGGTCTCTCCATGTATAGAAGGAACAAGAGTGATGAGAATTGAAGATGCTTGGAATCAACTAGTCCCCCAGACTAAATGGAACATGTGAACATCAGTCTCTATGCCTCTGAGACCAGAACTAGATGATGCCCGGCTACCACTTCCACTGCTCTGAATGGGATCACATTAGAACACCCTGGACAGAATGGTATAATGTGTGGAACAAAACTCAAAATTATTTTTAAAAAAAACAAAAATGGGAAAAGAACAAGGCTTATTAGTCAGAAAGAGAATGGAGAAATCGGAGACTGTGATCCTTGACCACCCTTCAGGTCTGGAAAGGAACGCACTCTTTCAGCCAAGCAGTAGGTAGATATATAGGGGAAACAGCAACACTATTAGGATGTGCTCATTATGAGTGACGGAATGGCTAATCATTGCAAATCAAAGGAGCAGCATGTACCTAAGTACAATGGTGAGAAGGGTGGGGAAGGTGGGGAAAACTGTTGTTCCAGGGATGGGGTTGCAATCATTGAGAAGAAACAAAGTATATTATTTGTTGAATGTAAAACTGATGATCTTGTCTGTAAACCTTTACTTAACAGTTTAAAGAAAAAAAATGCAGGTATTTTAGAGTATAGTTCCATAAGTGGAAAGGGGTGATCTTGTTCTGTGTTTAGTGCTTACTTGTAAACTAGTGGACTGTGGAAACTGTATGCCAACTAAGACATCAGTACATTTTAAAGCTACTGTCATTCTTTTTCATATATTATTGACTAACTAATCATATCAAAACGTGAGTTTCTAATTGAATAACAGGTTGATATAATATTCTTTTTCATAACAAACTGGTGACTTTATTTCTTTGAATTTTGTTCTAGTCAGTCCATATTTATGTGTAATTTTTGCATAAGATTATATATTTCTTAGTAATGTATGTAAAGGTTAAGTTAGGGAAGATGAGTTTTGAACTGTAGGTACCATTTTTGTCAATAGAAGCACAAGTACAGATAATCCAAAATGAGCTATGCTGTCATTCATAGTGTATAGGTCAATATCCCTATACATTATCTCCATTGAGACGTCATAATGATTTAAGCCTATTAGATACAGAAAGGCACTCTTAGATATAAATGACCTTTGTTTTTAGGTGAATCATAAGGGGAGAAAAGATATTAAGAAACTGGAAGAAGTAGTAAAAGACACTAAAGAATTGCTACAACCTACTCTGACAAATCATTGAGTCTTTCTTTTAACCTACAGGTATTGGTTGCTTTAGCATCTGAAGAGCTTGCCAAAGGCTGGACCCAGTGGTGAGTATACTGAACACAGATAAACAATAAACAGAAAACCTCATAGATTTTTAAAGTAACTTGTTTTTCAAAATTAACCACATGTCTGTTGTAATCCTATGCTTTCTCAGGTATGATCTAACTGAAGATGGTACCCGACCGCGTATGGGAACATAGATCATTCTTGGACATGAAGAGTATCTCCTTGTTGTATTTATCTCCTCTTTGTATACTTTGAATGCACCCCTCTCACAGATGTACCGATATTATTTTTATAATTTCATGTATTCAGTTATTACATACCTAAATACTTTTATAAATCATCGGTTGGCATTTTAGGCAAATATGGCCAATATTACTGTTAAATTTTTTATGTTTAGTGTGTTGTAGTGTTTCACCAGTTATTGTAAAGTCTAGTAGTGATTATGTCAGTAGTTTGTACCAGAAAGTAGGTGTGTATATATGCTGTATTATAGCCTTGTTTTGTATATCACTGAGGTACACTATGCCATGGAAATAGATTCTATTTTTTATAATGTCTTCATGCTAGTTTGAATTCAGAAGAAAATGGATCAAGGAAATAATATATATTTTCTTCTAAAATATATGAAGCTCTTAATGACAAAGAATAATTTTTGTCTTTGCAGCAAAAAGTTCTCAGTAACCTATTTTGTGCTGTTTCTTTTTAAAAAGAAAAACTGACAGATTATTCAATATTAGCATATTTCTTTCCCATTCCAGCTAATGAAAGAAAACATTCAAAATGTTAACATATTCATAAATATAAAGATGTATTATCGAAATGTCACTTGAACGACATAAGGAAAGATGTTTTATAACTGAGTAATATAAATTAAGAGAATTGTCATGGTTCATAAATCATGATGTACTAATCTGGAATTTATTATCTAGAAATGAAATGTTTATGTTTTTTTAAATTACTTAGTGTAACTTATTCACGAAATGATGCACAGATAAACAAATTACACTTTTCCTAAAATGCACTGCGGAGCAGGCTTGAATGTTAGCAGTTAGGATGTTGTGAAATAGTCAATCATGAGCTTTGTGCATCTTCAGTGTTTGTCCAGCCTATAAAGCAAGAGACGCCTACATTGTCATTCCGGAGGTTACAAAACAAACTGGGATGGGCAAACGGAAGATTAAGTTAAAATCGATAGTTCTGCTTTTCATGAGAAGAGCTTAGTTTTACATTACCTGTAGGGCATGAAAGGAACCCTGATGGGGCATGGTCCCAAGCACTTGGCTGCTGACTGACTGGTTGGCAGTTCAAGTAAACCCAGCCGCTCCATGGGAGAAAGATGTGGCAGTATGCTTCTGTAAAGATTTCAGCTTTGGAAACCCTTCCAGGCAGTTCTGCTCAGAACTATAGGGTTGCTATGCGGCAGAATCAACTGGCCAGCAGGGACTTGGGTTTTTAATCAGGCATGTAAGTTGGAACGTGGTTCCCTTCTGCTGATACACATAGGCCACCGGCGGGACCAAAGGGTTTCAAAACAGCTGCCAGCACAAGCAGCTATTGGTTTTAAGTAGCAAATTATCTGGGTTTTCTCACTTTATGCCATGACTGACCTTAATATTGGGATGTTGCTCTATAATTTTTTTAATTATTAGATTATTATTAAAAGTAGGTTTTACATACTTGAGTCCCGAAAACCTCTTGTGAGGTGAGGCAGTCTCATAAGCTATGCACACCTATAAACAAAGTATGCACCTGTGCCAAGAGATTTTTCAATGTCACTTCTAAACTGTGTGGTGAAAATGGCTTCCCAACCCAGAAAGATATTTTAAAAGTAGATATAAATATATTGGGAAGATACAGCTTTGTATTGGTTTCATGAAAGTAAACAACTTGTGGATAACTCACGTGACCAAACATACCAAAGTGCCTGTGACTAGCAGGGATTGTTACTTCTCCTCAGATTGCGATTTCTACACACATGGGCCTGCCTATGGGTGTTCATTTCCTTTTAATTTGTAATTAATTTACACTTCAAACCATGGGTTTACTTATAATAGATTATCTAACTTCACAACACATTTCATGTAACCATAAAGACCAGTGTAATCTCACAGTTCACTATTTAATGAAACTTAACCCTAAAGCCTCATTATAACTCATTTCCAATGCTAGTGTGTAGGCTTGATTCTTCTGGGAGGAGGTTTATGTATATGTTGATATACACATATGAACATATGTATATGCAAAATATGTTAGTATTTTAGAGAAAGATAGGCAAGGACATTAAATCTAATTGCCTAGCCATGATATTAGATTATTTTAAGTTTATTGTTTTTGTTTTTAAATAAGATACATTTAAGGGCTTCTCAGATAATCTATAAAAGAGAAGAAAAACTCATTTCAAATCTCAGCACACCAGTCATTTTTGCCAACATCCTAAACATTTGAGTTTTGTAGTCACGTGCTTAATCTATCCAGTGGTCCATGAAACATGATACCATGAACCATTCTTAAACATATTTCACTTAATCGAGCACTTTATTTCAGCAAAGTAGATACAAATAAAAGTATAAAATACAAAGAAACCCAGCTTAGCAGCACAATGGAGTGCTGTTTGATGCCTGTTACTATCAGTCCAATTGTGGGAGAGCTGTCACCAAGCAGCTTGGATACAAAGTCCACACTTACAGATTCAGAGGCTTCTGGTAGCTGCCCCCTTTCTCTTTAAAAGAAAGGAAAGGATGTATGTTTCACAGAAGCACCTCCTAGACTGTGATGAGATTAAAATGTAAAGGGAAGCTTTTGTCTGCACAGGGGAAAGGTTACAGAATGACCACCAAAGCCATTCCTAGCATTCTGATGATGAAGATGATGATGAGTTGTTTCCAAAATGTTCATTCTTACTTTATCATCATGGGTATATCTAATAAAAGGGAACTTCAGCTTGTCTACTTTTAACCAAAATAGTAGAGGGAAAACACATTTTAGGAGGAGAATCCTGACGTGCAGTTTGGGTTAGCATGTCCCATGTGAATTGCTTATCCTGTGCCTTAAAGTATGGAAATATAAGGGTGTTGTTTTCCAGTTTCAGATTTAACACAAAAGAAGCCTTGCTATATTTACCAGTTTATATTCTATACCATGAAAACTTGTTTTACTGACTTCCATCAAGAAGGTTGTCCCTTCTTTTTCAAGAACATAAGCCAAATACAAATTAGTGTGTATACAGCTTTGCATTTATACTATGGTTGCTATTTGAATTCCAATGTGAGCTCTACCCTCTCTGCAGATGGAAAAGAGCAGAGGGATTTATTATTGTTGTAGACTGTCCTTTTTGCTCAACTAATTTTACATGATGGTGCATGTATTTATTCAATAAAACTTTTCTGTTAGATCACTTGTGATTTGTTTTGCCTTTACCTTTTAAAATGAAATTTTTAGTGTGGGACCAGATGGCTTACAAAGTCGATACGTTGTGCTATTTGCATTTGCTATTTATGAATTCTTTCATTTTGAAACCAACTGCACAAGATCATTTGATATTACACCTTCTGTTGCCATTTGACTCTTCTCTGCCTAACTAAACTCTAGGTTCTGAAAACAGCTCCTGTGAAAAATAATCATAATAGAAACTGTTATTATTGCTGTTGGGGTGGTATGCTTTTGAGTTGGTTTTGACTCATAGCAACCCTGTATAGGGTTTCCTAGAGCAGTTGGTGGGTTTGAACTGCCAACTTTGCTTTTACCAGTCCAATGCTGTTGTTGTTGTTAGGTGCCGTTGAGTTGGTCCTGATTCATGGCAACCCTTTTTGATGCACAATAGAACGAAACACTGCCTGGTCCTACACCAGCCTCACGATTGGTACTTCAGATCCCACTGCTGCTGCCACTGTGTCAGTCCACCTTGTTGAGGGTTTTCCTCTTATTAATTGACACTCCACTTTTCTAAGCATGATGTCCTTCTCCAGGGACTCATCCCTCCTGATAATCTGTTCAAAGAAAGAGACAAAATACCCCCATTCTCACTTCTAAGAAGCATACTCGGCTGTTCTTCCAAGACAAATCTGTTCTTCTGAAAGTCAACGGTGGTGGTGGCTATGTGCCGTGGAGTCGGTTCCAACTCATAGCGACCCTGTACAGGGTTTCCGAGGCTGTAAATCTTTACAGGAGGAGAACGCCTCATCTTTCTCCTGCGGAACAGCTGGTAGTTTCGAACTGCTAGCCTTGTGGTTCACAGCCCAAATCGTAACCACTACGCTACCAGAGCTCCTTTGAAAGTCAACGGTACTATCAATAATCTTTGCCAACACCATAATTCAAATACGTCATTTCTTGTGCAGACTTCCTTATTTCCGTCCAACTTTAACATGCATATGATATTTGAAAATACCATGACTTGGGTCAGGTGGACCTTACTCTTCAAACTGACATCTTTGCTCTTCAACACTTTAAAGCGGTCGTTTGCAACAGATTTGCTTAATGCAATGCATCATGTGATTTCCTGACTACTGCTTCCATGAGCATTGATTGTGGTTCCAAGGAAATTGAAGTCTTTGACAACTTCAATCTTTTCTCCACTTTCATGATGTTATTTATTGGTCCAGTGGTGAGGATTTTTGTTTTCTTTACATTGAGGTGCAATCCATACTGAAGGCTGTTGTCTTTGATCTTCACCAGTATTTTAAGCCCTCTTTGCTTTCAGCAAGCAAGACTGTATCTTCGTATCACTGGTTAATAAATCTTCCTACAATCTTGATGCCACATTCTTCATAAAATCCATTTTCTCAGATTATTTGTTCAGCATGCAGATTTAATAAGTGTGATGAAAAGATACAACTCTGAAGCATACTTTTCCTGATTTTGAACCATTTTGTATTTCCTTGTTCTGTTCAAATGACTACCCCTTGGTATATGTACAGGTTCTTCACGAGCACCCTTAAGTGTTATGGAATACCCATTCTTCACAATGTTATTCATAGTTTGCTATAATCTATACAGTCAAATGCCTTCACATAGTAAGCATCTTTGCACAAGTAAAGATGGTATTCTTTGCTTTCAACCTAGATCCATCCAACTTCAGTAATGATATCCTGCATTCCACATCCTCTTTTGAATCTGCCTTGATTTCTGACAACTCCCTGTCGATGTAATGTTGCAGCTGTTTTTGGTTGTTGTTGTTGTTG